CATGTACCTCAAACATATCAAATACAACTCATAAAGATCTGAGCTGGTTATAGCTGTTTGTTAATTATGAATGTGCAAAAATTATCCACACTGCAAAACAACATGAATGAGGTAATAAAACAGGTGATATAAAAATGAAAACGTAGAGGTGAAACTCTAAGGTCAGTGTAACCTCCTACATGTATGCAGATGTTTGTCCCGTCACGCATTGCTCTCCAAGAGAGGAAAGATTGTGTGACGAGCGCAAAGAGCGTCTATGTCGCTGAGGCTAGAGTCAGTGTGACGTCAGTATTTTTTTGGTGTTAATTTTTCATGATACGTACAACACAACATTACATTCTGTGACGTCAGTATTTTCGTTGAGGTCATGATACATGAAATGAATGAACTACCTGAACTTCTAAACCCCTTTAATTACAAGTCCACTTTCTGGTTTCTATATTGCAAAACCCTTTGTCCGCCTTTGACTTTACGGAATGCCAAAGGCAGCTGCAGGCTATTTATAATACTACAAGTAAGTTTAAAATCCCCTTATGGGACTCAAACTCTGCCGTTCATATAGACATGATCTTCACACAGTTGTCATAGGTGAAAGATGACAGGAAGACTAGCAGAGTAGTGAAAGAGATCACTTACATAACATTATTAACATTGCAACTCAACAAGAATCTTAAGCACACTTCTTGTCATAGAACGGTGAAAAAGCTGTTGATTCTTGTGGCAAGAAAAGAAACTGGATCACATGAGCAAATCAGGCAAATGTGATATCTGATATCCTGATTCAAGACCAGCCCTCCCCCGATTCAGTGTGTGAGACCTTCATTTCTTGCCTCTTTAGCAAGCTCAGCCGGCACGCGTCCCAGATGTTGTTTGGTGTATTTTCCTCTTAAACACTCGTAAATAATAGTTGTTTTTCTTTATGGGCACCAATTATTTAATGGGCACACACACATGATTGCCCTTGGTGATCAGGTGTTAAGTTTTTAAGGAGGTCAATTTGACCAGGTTTTCTCTTTCACGTATGTAGACACATCAACAGGCGAAGACAGTTCACAGAGTGACCATCCAGATGCTGAACGAAGCAGGATTGCAGGTACTATTTTAGGGGCAATAGTTCTGGATTGAGCATGTTAACTGTGAAGCATGCTGGGAGTTCGTCACAGGCTCAGTAAAATGTTGTGGTGTTGTTGGTCAAGAAAGTTAACTACTATGTTGTGCTTTAAAACTTACTTGATGGGCAGCTACCTCAAACATATCAAATACAACTCATAAATATCCGAGATGTTTGTGGTTATAGCTGTTTGTTGATTGTGAACGTGCAAAAAAAATGCTTTTTTGTTATCCATACTGCAAAACAGCTTGAAAGAGGTAATAAATTACAGATGATGAAAAAATGAAAACGTAGAGGTGAAACTCTAGAGTCAGTGTAGCCTTCTACACAGATGTTTATAGGTGCAAGTCAAGGAAAGTAACTTCACTAATAAATGAAAAAACAATCTCAGTTAAGTTGTCAAGTTTTTTAGTTGAAATTTGGCGCAAATACGGCCGGTACATCAAAATAGTTCTAAAAAAAGCTTCTCTTTTGCCTGTAGCCCAAACTACTGTGAAGGACATGAATAGAGGACAGGAGCTGGATCAATATGAAGATCACGATACTTGGTTGAAGATGGTCAAACAGGACTGGTACTCCTTCCAACGCCTGAAGGAGGCACAGACAGATCAGCAACGAAAGGTTTGTATGATTATTATAAATAACACATTCAATTTCCTATCACAGACGCAAGTAGCTTGTGAAAAAAACTTGCGAGTAAGACAAGAGTAAACTGTTGCACTGTTCTCAATATAAATTAGTAGTATGTTAATACTACAATAACTAATATTTTTTTTGTTCTTCTTCCTAGCGACTGAATATGTTTGTTGCACGGTTCCAGGACCAGTTTCCTGTACAGTATCAGTGTGATGGCTGTGGTGTAATACTGTCAGACATCCGATACCGCTGCCTTAACTGCATTGATGTTGACTTCTGTTATGACTGTTACACGAGTGAGTATGGTCCTTTATGGTCTAAATGTATTCCTGGGAGCTAAAGAAAACGACGATAGGCAGGCTATATCATCCTTATGTACAGAAAAGGTCCTTTTCAACTTTTGAACAGGAGATAAATCAGTTTTTATGGTTACAACTCTTGATAAATTAATGCCTCAAACTGAGTTTTCCCCTAATCAGTAAATAATGATGTTCCTTAGTAACACAAAGTATTCTGAGAGATTTTTTTCTCCATGGACTCAAGCTTCTGAGAAAAAGAGTGCCAACTTTTACCAACATGAGTCCATAATTCTAGTCTTTGTACACGCCCGACCCCTTCCTGGGCTACATGCTTGTGTTTGGTAGGCTTGAATGCTATTCCTGAGTGAACACATGCAACTGTCAAGAATTCTAATTACTCTTTTTTCAGCAGGAATTGGCCAAAAACACACTTGTTTCCAAACTGAATTGGTGTTGCCAAACAGGGATGTATTAGGTGCTGTCTTGAAGTAATCTGACGCATACATTTTTGTTTTATAATTATTTAAGTTTGAATTTATTTTTTTCAAACAGAAAGGGTAAAAGCAGAGGGTCACACAGAAAATCACGAAGTTATTGAAATGAGGTTAGTGCTAGAATAAACAGCTGTTTAGTCGTCTACAAACTGTTAATTTTTAACCTCTTAAAAAAGTGATAATAATTAAATTGAACAATTCATTGTGACAGAATGTGCAAGGGAAGCCATAAGTTTCACTTGATTACCTTAAAATCCTTGTATGTCACACCATGTGCCATATTCATTGTGTTCAGTCATAGTTGCTTTCTGTTTATGTTGTTTTTACTTTTAAGAAAACAAACTAAGCTGTTTCATTCACCTCGTCAACTTTCAATTAAAAGAGTTCGCCGGTTCAAATATAGCAGGCTTAATAGGACACCGAAATCATCTTAGCAGTAAGCAGACGTAAGTGGCAAACGTAATTTGTAAATTATTGCATTTGTGGTCAAATTATTGTCTTAAACTACACACTACCAGCTGAAGTGGACACCAAAAACCCAAAATTTAGACCCCTAAGCGAGATGATGAGCATCCCTGTCTCTTTCAAAAGGCAGTTCCTCTCCACCCCGAGCTCACGGTAATGTCACGCAATACGCAGCTAAGAATTCATATTTCTGATGTTTAAAGGAGCTCGATTACGCGGTGAGACTATTTACCAAGGTTATTTACTTTGCAATCATATCTGTCAAAATTCAATTACTTTTCAATGCCACCCAAAAAGAAACATTTCGCACAATGGGATATGATTTACAACATAAGATGACGGACCATTATTTTTTTCAAAGGGGGTGGGGGGCTGGGAGTTTTCTGGGGCCTGAAAATTTTTTTCGCACCTTTAGGTTTTGCATGACTTTTTGGTGGGCAATAGGTTGTGCAAGACTAAAGAATCGAAACAATGATAGTAAGAGCACTTGCTCGATTTTTTTCTTCATGATGGGTATCGAACGGCCCCTTTCAATTTGAAAGTGCTTGCAAAATTTTGGCCTTTGCTTGAACTGCTCACAAAAATTAGATGAGTGCCCGCTTGCTCGAGCTCGCATGATTGGATTGTAGTTAAAATTCTCTGCCGTGTAGCGGAAGCATAATTTGCATCACGACAACAAAAATTGACTCTGGAAACAGTGTTTCCCGTATGGCAAACTGGGAAACATTGGGGAAACATGCACGCGCCATGAATGTTTCTAGAAAAATGCTTCCTCGTTTTCGTGACGTTTTATTGAAACTGACCGGCCAATTTTGCTTGTAAACGCCGGTTATCTTTAACCCTCTTGGTAGAGACCCTACTTGCTTGTAAGCAGTCCCTTAGAAAGCTTCAGATCTCCTTTAGCGTCCACCCACAGACTCACATGAAGCTAAGTAAGGTAATTTTGCATCAGACGGCGTATCAAACAAGGCATAAGTAAACAATAGCCTCCATTTGGCGCGAAAATATGCTCGGATATTTGTCCGCGGACATTATCTGTTCCGACAAGTTAACACTGTGAGCTTCGAGGAACAGGTAATGTCCAAGGACAAATATCCGAGCATGCTTTTAAAGTCAAATGAAGGCTATTGTGTTTATTATCCTTCAACTATTTTTCACGACACGCGCAGTTCCGAAAATTGGGGAATATTTTCGGATATTCCCCAGTTTCAGCTGGGGAATACTCGGTCACGTGACGCGTTTAGACCAGTGACGCGCAAGCGAAAATATTTGATGGATTATAATTGGCTGTAGTATAAGCTGCTGGGAATGCCTGGGATTGGTTGAACCACGATAAGATCTTTTATTATACATTGAACTCACTATCTCTTTTCTGATTGGCCGGAAGCGTAGAGTGAATTTTGGAAATCAGCGCCTGTGACGTCATCTAGCGGCAGATTATACAATAATCATGTCAAGGACACTCAAGGTCACGGGTAATCATGTCATGCATGACCGCGGTGCAAGATTTGTAAGGGTAATCATGTCAAGTTCGCGCGCTTTGTGTAGCTTTAGTGAAGAAGCAAACCATGACTTCCATTTTTATCGTTCAATGTATGAAAAAACAATTATTAGATTCGGTTTTTGTGATATCCAGAATAATTAAGGTCTTGGTAAGGGTTATCAGCCTCAGCCCCAGGATTCGGCAGATAACCCCTACCTCGGCCTTGATTATTGTGGATATCACAAAAACCTCATCCAATAATTGTTTATTAACGTGTTGCCTGGCTTTGCGGCTGATGTCCTGTTTTGGAGGTGTCAGCCAGTTTACTTGGCGCAAAAAACGTCTTAATAAAAGAGAGAGACTCCAGCAGGCGGAAAATTTACGAAGTGCTTGCTGCTCGCCATCTGCTATTTGTAAAGTGTTCGCTGCTCGCATGACAAAATTGATCACTGCTCGCATGCTCGGAAATGCTCGCAAAGACCATTCGATAACCCTGCCATGGCTCCCCTTGCACGATTTTTGTTCACTGTGTTTGCTGTGCAGGAATTTTTTTTTTTTGAAATTCGAGGAAAAATGCACTGCTCTAGTTGTTTGAAATCAAGCTCAACAACTTTCTTCGTGAAGAGGGAAAAGAATATAAGATAATTTTACTTTTCCGGGGGGGGGGGTTGAGAAGTTAGAACTGAAGTCTCTTCATCTGAGTTTATAGCGAACTCAGAAAATCTCAGAAAAGCGACACAATGTTTTATTCAGTAAGGCAACATGAAGGTCTAGTGAAGTGGTACAAAACGACCAGAGGAAAGCGATTCCAAACGCTGAGGATTGCACTCGCCAATACACAAAATAAGGTTGGCAGGCTAAATGCGGCTAAACTGTGTATAAATAATGTAAGCGTCTATTTGTTATGGCACCACAAAATTTGTTAGTTTCAGTTCATTACGATCTCTGTTCAGCGACGTCTTCGATTCAATTCCGTTGGGTTGCCATCGTAGCCCGGGCATCGTACTTTGTCAAAACAAAAGTATCTCACCCTAGATTCTCAGTGAAATTAGATTTACATAATAAGTATTATATCG